TCTCACAGTACGCGAACTGCAAGGTTAAAGTCGTCATTGGGCACCAGAATATATCAAATCATAGTGTTGTGTGTTTTATGTTCATTATTGGTGCATTATTAACCTTACTGTGGTGTATTTGAGAATTCATGTTGGTGCCTTCCCGAGCGGTCAGTACGACCACACTAATAGTTATACGAATATACACCATCCATGTTATAAAATGCACACCACAAAAATATGCACAAATTAGATACGCATCACCAGAACGCACCACTAGGTATGACTAAAAGCATCACACAGTGTTCAGAATACACCATTGGGTGGTGAGTTATATGGTGTATTTTTTGGGTGTGTTGTGTGCTTTTTGGTGTATTTTTACATTTCATTGTGGTGCTTTTTTCTAACACTATTGGTGTCTTTTGTTAACACTGTTGGTGTATACTGACAAGCGACCAATATAAATAACCACTACAATTACCATAACACCCCCCACTTACCAGGACGCGCTTAAATCTTTAAATCTTCGGAAATTAGCTGCTGCCATTAGATTAAACAAAATAGACGACGCTGATATGACCGCACCGCCGCACCTAAAGCCACTGCCGCATATGAGCCTTTTATATATATATATATATATATATATATATATATATATATATATATATATATATATATATAAATGTATATATATACATATATATACACATTTATATATATGTACATATATATATATATATATATATATATATATATATATATATATATATATATATATACACATTTATATATATGTACATATATATATATATATATATATATATATATATATATATATATATATATATATATATATGTATACATATACATATATATATATATATATATGTATATGTATACATATATATAGGATCAAATAAAAAGAGACGCTCATGTAGTAAATTGGATGTGATCTTAATCCTTGATTTGTCCAGATCAATGTCCCTAATCATCCAATGATCTAGTACAAAATAATTTTGAAGTTGAGGTGCACAAATTTATACTATAAAGTGTACAAGTTTAATTTATACTACTAGTTTTAAACTTATGCACTTGTAGTATAAAACTTATGCACTTGTATTATAAAACATGTGCACTTTGAAGTATAAATATATGTACTTCAAACTTAGAGATATTTACAAAAATGCTACTGAATTTTTTCCTAAACTGATTTTTAGAACTTCTAACTTGGACAGATCAACGGCTAAATCTCATCCCATTTTTTAACACACACACACGCACACACAAGGGATTAGGTGCAAAGCTTCCCATAGGTGTGAATCGTGCAGATTAATCACAATGTTTGATCTTACTAAAATAAACAACGCAGAATGAACAACAATTAAAAAATGTGGTAGCATCATGGTCATTTTGCATAAGGTCACAACTTAAGGTGCGTAAGTTTAAAGCTTAAGGTGCATATATTCAAAGTTTAAGGCGCGTAAGTTTATAGCGTAAGGTGCATAAGTTTATAGCGTTAGGTGCCTAAGTTTAAAGTTTAAGCTACTTAAGTCTAAAACTTAACGTGTGTAAATTTATAGCTAAAGACGTAAATTTATAGCTTAAGGTGTGTATGTTTAAAGGTTAAGGTGCGTCAATTTAACTCTTAAGGTACGTATATTATATTTAAAGCTTAAGCTGCATTATTTTCAAGCTTATGATACATAAGTTCAAAGCTTATGGTGCGTAAGTTTATAGCTTTAGGTGTCTAAGTTTAAAGTTTAAGGTACTTAAGTTTAAAACTTAAGATGTGTAAGTTTATAGCTTAATATGCGTAAGTTTATAGCTTAAGGTGCGTATGTTTAAAGTTTAAGGTGCGTATGTTTAAAGTTTAAGGTGCATCACTTTCTAGTTTAAGGTGCATTAGTTTAACTCTTATGGTGCGTATGTTTAAATCTTAAGGTGCATTATTTTCCAGTTTAAGGTGCATAAGTTCAAAGCTTAAGTTGCGTCAATTCGAGACACTTGATCATTTGCATTCATGTTGCTAGGAAGCACATTTTTTTTAATTATAAATTTTCATTCAGTTTGAGTCGTTGATCTAGATTAGATCAACGGCTAAGATCTCACCCCATTTTTCACCTAGGAGAAGCTTCACACCTGAAACATCCCCTAGATGATGTGCACTCATGTGGGGCAAATTGCAAACTCTAGTCTGTGTGCATCCCATTAATTAATAGACTATGTGCATTCATGTTGTGTCTCACAGTTTCACGGGAAAATGTTGTCTCATTTTATATATATATATATATATATATATATATATATATATATATATATAATTCTAATCATATGAGAACCACTCCCAAGGTGAGAACTTGTGGGCAAATTCAAACTACAAGAGCACAATGTTAATAAAAATGCACCGAAAGACAAAAAAAATTAACTTATTTATACAAAATTACCATAATGCCACCGCATTTTTAAAAAAAATATCTCTATTCTGGACCCTTGATCTAGACTGAATAAATGGATGAAATTAAACCCTATTTTTCACCTAAAGCTTTTTCTTCACACCTGTTGCGTTATATATATATATATATATATATATATATATATATATATATATATATATATATATATATATATATATATATATATATATATATATATAGAGATTTAGGATCATATGAGAACACTTGCTTAGGTGAGAACGTGAGAACAAATCGTGTGTATCTATCTAATACTTTTTAATGAGCTAGATTAGATTAAGTGTGTGTGAACGCGAATTAAATGTGTGCAAACGCAATTAAGTGTATTTGTTCGCATACACTTAATCTAATCAAGACCATTAAAAAATATTTTATTAACCAACAACACACGCACTTTGTTGGCACTAAAAAAAAGGTTAATCAATCCACTAGTGCAACTGAAGGAATTACCTCTTCTGAACCGGAACAAGAAAGAGCTCATAACCACTGCTTGTGAACAGCTCTCCTCAACTTAAGGCACACCCACTCTTACTAGATACACACGATTTGTTCTCACATTCTCACCTAAGCAAGTGTTCTCATTGGAACCCTACTATATATATATATATATATATATATATATATATATATATATATATATATATATATATATATATATATATATATATATATATATATATATATATGCTTCGAATCTGGTGCAACCCCTATACTAGATGAGATCATGAGATCTCATGATATCCATTGATTCATTTTCCATAAATGGTTGAGATTATAAGAGATTGTGAAAGTAATTAAGGATATATTTAAATCAAAAGGATTAAATAGTAATTGTAGACCAGGACTATGTGGTCTAATGGTACCCGGGTTGGACTTCCATTTGAAAGATTATGACTTCGAGCCTCAGTGGAGGCGTTATTGGTTCTTTGTGTTTCAGTAGGTTGAGAAAGTATATGAACAGATACTACAATGTAATAGAGCCAGTAACTTTCTAAAAAAAAAAAATAGTAATTGTAGATATAGGTTTAATTATGGATATAATTCAATTAGAATCTTAAGCATTATATTAGGGAGATTATGAATGGAAATTGATATTTTAAATTATTAGGGAACCTATCAATGGTAATAATTAATTATATTTTGTACATCTGAAATTTTAAACTATGGAAAATTTTACAGCGGTATGTGCGTGGGTGTGGAATGGTGTGTGCGTTTTATAGTTTGTCATGGTGTACCTCATGTTACAGAAAACCGCACACGCTATTCCACATCCGCGCACACACCATCGTAAAATTCCTCACAATTTAAAAAAAAAACACAAGCCCAATACTATATCTACGTTTCGCACACGCCCGAAACTAGTAAAACACAAATCAAAATGTACATGCCTGTATCACGAAACGCACATACCAAAACACATAATTTTATGAAAAAAATCAGCACGCCATGGTGTACGAGCCTTGTTACAGTAAAACGCACACACCATTCCACACCCACGCACACACCGCTGTAAAATTCCAAAGAAAATTACTAAGAGAGAGAGAGAGAAATATTAATTAAGGAGAGCTGAAATAATGCTACAAATCTTTATAAACATGGAAATAAATAAAATGAAAAGTAATAAATATAGCGCTTAAGGACAAAAAGACCTATGCTCAGTATAACATGGGATCCAAGTGGTAATCAATCTAAATCGTCAAAAATTAAAATCAACGATCAGGGAGTGTGCTCACGGGCTCGGCTGACTAGGGGGTGTGCACCCAATTCAATATATATATATATATATATATATATATATATATATATATATATATATATATATATATATATATAGAGGCGGGTTCAAGTGCGGCAGTGTCTTACGGTGCGGTTATTTCTTACGGTGCGGCAACACCAATAGTTCACCAAATATGCACCATCAACGTTAGGAAATACACCACACAAAACAGAGTAAACAAAGCCCTACATCACCAAACACACACCATTAGGTGTGAGTAAAAACACTGTTCGGAAATACACCATTGGGGGTGGTGAGTTATATGGTGTGTTTTTTTGAGTCTGTGGTGTATTTTGTGATGTTTTATTACATTTCATTGGGGTGTGTTTTTATTACACTGTTGGTGCATATTGTTAACACTGTTGGTGTATTCTGGAATTTGACCGCACCGCCGCACCGTAAGACCCCGCCGCATATGAGCGCTTATATCACTAGTACAAAATTAACCATTCGCGTCTTTACTAATTGACAATACGCGTCTTTTTTGGCAAAGACGCGTATGGCGCAGACACGGAAAGCTGGAACTTTACGCGTCTTTACTAGCTAAGTAAAGACGCGTATTGTGTTTAACAAAAATAAAAAAAAAATAAATGCGCCTGTACTTATATTCTTTTAATATTAAATTTAATTCAATATAATCCCTGCTCAACAGAAAATTCCCCCACCATGCTCAACAGAAAATTCCCCCACCAAACAACATTTATATGGTTCAAACCATTCAACACAATATATATATATAATCCAACATACATAATTTTCTAAACACAATATAATAACCCTAACATTAATCTATCATTATATATATAATGTAATTCCATCTAAATCACATAATAAACATTTATATGCACTTATTTACAAAATAGTCTATCCATACCCTCCTTATCTCATATATTCCATCCTTAGAATACACATTTGTGTCATGATATACCTACAAAATTTTGGATAATTAAAAGAACATGAGTATATAAACTATAAAATATTATAATGCAACTACCATAACAATGAGTATATATACTATCAATTTTTAAAAGACAGTGCAACTCTTTCAATTATAAAATTAATACTGGATTTACCATAACAATGAGTAGAGCCCATTCTAGGCACATATTTATATCCAGAGTTACAACATAATATTTTTTAACTATATCATTTAGACTATTTCATAGACAAACATCAACTTAAGAGACAAAAAGAAGATGTGTCTGATGAATTGAAATTGAACACTGTATTCTCACAAAAAAAAAAAAAAATAAAATAAGAAGACCGTTTACAAATAAGAGAAATTTATTTAACTTACAATAATAATAATAAAAAGGAAAAAAATATTCAAACATCTATTCTATAATAATGAAAGCAAAGAGTTTACCTAACCATTCAGAAGTCCACTTGGAACTTCGACAGAATTTATAGCAATGACTACTTGAACAATTTGAGATGCGATATTTTGGTCCTTTTTGAACAAGTTAAAAAGATATTGCTCAAATCAATCAGATAGTAACATGCAAAATATGTGATAGAAGAAAATGAAACAAAACCTTCGATCTCATCTCCTAGATGTCTAGTTATATGATCAATTAAAAGCTGAAATTGTAGAGGATTGGAGGTGCCGCTCCCAACACTCAAAGTCTCAAACCAGAGATGAATACCACATACTTGTCTTCACCTGTTCATCCAATAAATAAGTTTTAACTTGAATGCTTACATACTAATTCTAATGTTTGTTTAGTATAAGAGTTGTAGTACTCCAACTTCCATTAATTTATATATGATGAAATCACCTACTCAAGCTCATACACTAAATCAGTTCTTCATGATTAAATACTGAAAAGAAAACTTTGATTCATATTACTTCATCTGGACACTAAATTAATTTGCAGGGCTGCATGCAAACAAAGGTTCAAATTCGGTCCAAAGAATGGCAGAGCACCAAAAAAACAAGCAAGCACATACACTGAATAAAATGCCAGAAGATTAAGAAAACATTCAAGTTATGCAATCTCACCTGATTGAAGTGGTTGCTCTATTTGTTGTGCTAGGCCAGCCTCTAGAACATCTTCAACCAGAAAATCACCAGCAGTAGTTTCTTTTCCAAGTAATGCCACAACTAGCCCTATAAAGCATATCATATCAAGGAAATCAAGTATGTCAGGCAAACTTGATCATGTGAATGTGATATAAAAGGGAATTGTTCATAAACATATCCTATGGCACTCAAAACAACTCAATGAAACACCTTAGATGCTGAAGGAATTTTACAGTAATCCTCTAATAGTTCAAGTACATTCAAACATTAATAATTGTTGTGCATGCATACACTAAACTTGTTCTTTGTTCATTACAGATTACATGTTATTCTGAAATGGAGAAATACACTAGTACTATGATAAACCTGTATGCTGAAGAGTCACAATAATCAAGTGTGTGTGTGTGTGTGATACTTAAAAAAGAAGGATTAAAGAATCCAATATTCCCTCATCAGAAAACCAAATATGTATACCTTTGTGCCTCAATTATTGGAAGATGAACACTTATGAGCTCAAAAAATAGCTGAATTATCTCCTGGGCAGCCATCATTTTCTCCTCTCTTATAATATGTTCCACATGATATAGTAACAACAAACCCCATTGTTAATACTTAATAATCATTTAAATCTCCAAATGGTAGGATTAGATGAATTGCATATAAAATGAAAATAATTGTATGAGCACTGGGATTGAATATTAGCATAGAAAGAGTGCTTTATACCTGAATCTGAGCAGTGGCTTCCTGACCAGTTTCGAGAAGCTTGGCAATTTCTTTGAGCATCTGCTCCAGCTGAATCTCTCTACGGTTTCTCAATAGCTTTATCCAAAGTATTGTCGGCTTCAATAGAGTTTTACTGCAAATCAAAACGCAAAAATGCTATCAGCCGCACACTCACAGTTTAGGAAACAGAACTCAAAAAATCCAGTCTTGGTAACTTCGAAACATCCAGAACAGAGAAATAAAATTGATTCACTGCAATGTAGAGTAGAGGAAAGGATCGTAATAGAAAATCACCCAACGAGATCGTAATAGTTGTCTTCGTTTCAGTAAATGGAGATTGAAGGCTGGATCAGAAGGGAGAGATGCGATTTGAAGTGGTCACTGCCGCCAGATCCACTGCTGGATGTAGAACACGCGATGTGTTGGTCGAATCTGAAGCTGCCATCGCCTTTCACGGTTATAGATCTGAATCTGAAGATGCCGTTGAATGATATCCCAGCGGAAAACGGCCACGGCCACGGCCTACTCTTTGACGCACTCCGTCTTGGGGATGACTTATACGCTGAGGCCCGGAAGGGAGCCACTGAGGAGAGCAAGACGAAGACAGAGAGAAGTTTAGTGCACTGAGCGATGAAGGCGGGGCAGGTGGAAGAGACTGAGGTGCGGAAGGGAGAAGTGTAGTGCGACGGCAAGAGGGAGAGATAGAGAAAGAGGAAACTTAGGGTTTTGTGGAGTAAAAGATATTTATATGGTTTTTTTAATATGTATGAAATAAAAGAAATACGAGTCTTTACCTTGACGATAATGACGCGCACTGTCTCCGCATTAAATTTTCGCGTCTTTACTAATTTAGTAAAGACACGTAAAGTCTTTTAAATATTTACTTAAATGCCACTGCGCGTTACTTCCCTTACTTTAGAAGTCTTTAATTGTAATTAAAGACGTGTATTGTAGTATTTTTTTGGTCCATTTTCTACTAGTGTATATATATATATATATATATATATATATATATATATATATATATATATATATATATGGATTGAAGTTACTGTTGTGGATAATGTTAAAGTCCAATTACTTTATTCAGTTTTTGAATGAATAACTTTCCTATATATCCTAACCACCATAACCCCCTCAGGCCTCAACTATGCTAATGGTCTATGAACATGTGGTGTTTTAAGGTGACAAATTGGTTGGACTGCCCATGACGAGCTAACTCGACCTAACTAACTCCTCATGGCCCCATCATAGTGTTACTGAAATTTTATACTACTCTATAAGTTATTACCAAATAACCAATATAATTTTTTATCTAAATATACTCCGTATTAAATTGGACATAATACTTTATTATAAACAATAATTCAATGTAATGGTCACACGTACGCCATAATGAATGTAAACAACACTTAAATAAATCGAGACAATGAGGTGTTAACTTGATTGAATTTGTTGAGTATTAGCTTAAAACGAAGCTCAATCTGTTATGTATTTTAACTGAAAAGTATTTTGAAACTTATACAAGTACGAAAGTTGAACATTAACATTGATCTTGTAAAACACATGCTATTGGGGAATATGATGAAATAAGGGATTGATGAAATAAGGGATTACCTAGCAGTTAAAATCAGCTCAAATCTGTTCTACGTGCTGCTTGCTGCATGCTGCTTGTTTTTTTCTCCTTTTTAGCTTATTAAGTAGTCAGGGGCCTTATGGTCTTTTTCTTGTTTTCCCTGGCAGTTATAACTGCCTATATACTTGTGTATGTTTGTTGTCCATCACATCTTTCCTTTTTCATACATTCACAGTGTAATTACCAGAGCTCCCTTAAGCTCTTTCAATGGCAGACACTTTGTTTCCTTTCTAACTTTGAAGCTTTCCAACATGGTATCAGAGCGCCATCGGAGTTACGCCACAGTAGTCACGGCGGAAACTGAAACCGGTGATGAGAATGGTGGTGATCAAGCTACGTCGTCCGATCAAATTCCGATGAACCCTAGCCCTGTTCAACGCGTGGAAGAGTTCCATGATCCTATGTACTTACACGTAACGGAGAATCCTAATCTTGTGCTCGTTTCCCCTCCGCTGTCAGAAGTTAACTATGCGACTTGGAGTAGGTCAATGAGAATTGCACTTGAAGTTAAGAATACGTATGGATTTCTTGATGGAAGCATAGTGAGTCCTGGAGAATCTGATCCTAGGTTTCCGATCTGGAGAAGATGCAACAATATCGTATGTTCATGGCTTTTTAAATCTCTCAGTCCTACGATTGCAGAAGGAGTGTTGTATTTCGAAGTTGCAACTGAGATCTGGAGTGTTCTTAGGAGAAGATACTTTCAGGTCGATGCTCATAGAATTGCAGAACTGCAGAATGAAATTTACAGGTGCACTTAAGGTAATCTTTCAATTAATGAGTATTTCACAAAATCTAATGCTCTATGGGTGCAAATGAACGCTATGAGGCCGATTCCTAAGTGTGAGTGTGTACCAAGGTGCTCTTGTGCTCTCATCAGTAAAATTCAAAAGGAAAAACAGGAAGATCAGATTATTCGTTTCCTGGAAGGACTGAATGAAGAGTATGAAAACATTAAGTCCGGAATTTTGGTCATGGATCCTATCCCAGTCATGGAGAAGGTTCTCAACATGGCACTAAAAATGGAGAGAAAGCTCAGAAACTCTGGCATCATGAAGAATTCTGATTTGATTCAGTCCAATGTTGTGCAAAACACAACAGTGTAGAACTCAGATGATCAAACTGTTGTGGCTGCTGCAACCTCTTTTAACAAAAGGAAGTTCAACAATAACTCTGGAAAAAGTGTACCTAAGTGTACATTCTGTGGCAAGCTAGGACACACAATTGAGAAGTGTTATAAGAAGCATGGATTTCCCCCAGGATGGATTCTAGGTTACAAATCCAAGGATAAACAGGCTCAGGATTCTCAGCAGACTTCAACTGCTTCTGTGAATCAAGTAGGTGATGTAGGCCTCACTGCTGAACAGTTTCAAAGGCTTGTAACCTTATTGCAAAATCAAGGTCAAGGGAGTTATTCATCCAATAATGCAGTTGTGACCTTGTCTAACACTGGAACCAATTCAGATTTCAGAAAGACTACAGAAAAACATACTGAAGGCAAGTCTATTCTTAATCCCCATGTTAATACTGTTCTGGATTCCCTTGATGTTTGGATCTTAGATTCTGGTGCAACAGACCATATTACTTGTTCCTTGGACTATTTTGAATCTTATTATGATGTTCATGGGATATTAGTGAAGTTACCTAATGGGGAAACTGTTAATGTTACACACATGGGGGACATTAGGCTTCACATGGATATACTGCTGAAAAATGTGCTGTTTATTCCATCCTTTTCATTCAATATTGTTTCTGCTAGCAAATTGGTAAGACAATCACGATATGAGATTATTATTGGGGCTGATTACTGTAATATCCAGGGCCATCTTTGGATGGTTTTGCTAAAGAGAGAGGAGGATTGTACCTGATCTCCCACCCTCCAATCAGGAAGAAAGCTCACCTTGTTCACTCTGCTAATAACCTCACTGAAATGGTTTGTCATAGCTTGTCTGCTGAGATATAGCACAATAGGCTGGGTCATTACCCAATGAATAAAATGCAACTGTTGAAAGGAGTGAAAATTGCCGCTTATACTACTGTTGGTTCTGCTTGTGATACATGTCATTTTGCCAAACATAAGAAATCTCCTTTTCCCTTTAGCAATAGTAAATCTGAGAAGTGTTTTGACTTAATACACATGGATATTTGGGGGCCCTTTCTCTGTGGCTTCCCTTAAGGTAGAACATTATTTCCTAACCATTGTTGATGATCATAGTAGATATACTTGGTTGCACTTAATGAAGCATAAGTCAGAAGTCAGATCAATATTTCACAACTTCTATAATTATGCTTTCACTCATTTTAATGCCAAGATTAAAACTGTCAGAACTAATAATGGGAATGAGTTTCTGATGCAAACCTTTTTTAATGAAAGAGGGATTGTCCATCAAAGGTCATGTGTACATACCCCTCAGCAGAATGGAGTGGTAGAGAGGAAGCATCAACATGTTTTGAATGTAGCTAGGGCCCTGAAATTTCAATCTGGTCTTTTTGACACTTTTTGGGGCCATTGTGTTTTGCATGTTTCTTATCTCATTAACAGGCTGCCTACTGAAGTTTTAGATGGTCAGACTCCTTCCCAAATATTGTATGGAAAAAATGTTGATTACAATCACTTAAGATCCTTTGGATGCTGTGTTTTGCTGCTACTATTTCACAAGGGAGGAACAAGATGCAAACAAGAGCCAAGAAATGCATTTTCTTGGGATTTCCTGCCAATATGAAAGGCTATATGGTGTTTGATATCATTGACAAAAATGTTTTTGTTTCTAGGAATGTGGTTTTTCATGAGCATATCTTTCCCTTCAAGGGACAACACTCAGGGCCTAATTTTGACACTGCTGCATCAGATAATCCTGGTCCTCCTCTTCCCTTGATTCCAACATATACTGAAAGTGAAGTGGTCAAAAATACTTTGTTGAATGACCATTCCACAGAAATTCAGCTTGAGCAACAACAGACACCAGACATCCATGTTGAGCTTTCACAATCCAGGAATTATTCCATTAATCATGATCATGCTCATGACACAATCATATTCTGTGAGTGATCTCAGAAATACTAATGATCAGGTTGATCAGCAGCAACCTAGGAGATCTATGAGAGCAAGGAATCTTCCCTCAAAGCTACAAGACTGTGTCTGTCAGACTGCCACATCCAACAACACCAATGCCAGAACATCTCCTCATTCTATAGGGAAGTTCATTTCTTACCAAAATCTACCTCTTACTCATAGAATCTGTGCAGCATCCATTTCCTCTTCTGAAGAGCCACAATCTTATCAAGAAGCGGTGTTACATTGAATGGAGACAGGCTATGGAAGCTGAAATAGAAGCCTTGAATCAGAACAAAACCTGGATCTTGACAGACTTACCAACTGGTAAATCTCCCATTGGTTGTAGATGGGTATATAAAGTGAAGCATAGAGCAGATGGCTCTATAGAAAGATATAAGGCCAGATTGGTTGCAAAAGGCTACACTCAACAGCTAGGTGTAGACTACATTGAAACTTTTTCTCCTGTGGCTAGAATGACCACAATCAAGACTTTCTTAGCTGTGGCTGCTGTAAAGGCTTGGGACATTCAGTAACTTGATATCAACAATGTTTTTCTACATGGAGACTTGGAGGAGGAAGTCTATATGGTTTTACCTCCTGGTTTTCAGAATGATAAGCCAAATCATGTTTGCAGGCTCATGAGATCTTTGTATGGCCTTAAACAGGCAAGTAGGCAATGGAATGCCAAACTGACTAGGGCCCTACAGGTGCATGGCTTTCCGCAATCATCTGCAGATCCTTCCTTGTTCACTAGACAGATAGGAGTCTCTTTCATTACCCTATTGGTGTATGTTGATGATATTCTGTTTGCAGGAACAAATCCTATTCAAATTGATGAATTAAAGCAGTTATTAGACAGAGAGTTTAAAATCAAAGACTTGGGCCATTTGAACTATTTCTTAGGCATTGAGGCTTTTAGGACTGATGCTGGAATCAACATTTGCCAGAGTAAGTATGCTTTAGAGATCCTAAAAGAATATGGCTTTTTAGAAGCCAAACCAGCCAAGACTCCTGCTGTCACAGGTCAAAAGCTAAACAACTGTGATGGGGTTCTACTTGAACAACCTGAGATCTTTAGAAGGTTAATTGGGAAACTCTTGTACTTAACCAATACTAGACCTGATATATCATATGCTGTCCAGCAGTTGAGTCAGTTTGTGGAGAAGCCAAGAGATGTTCATATGATAGCAGCTCATAGGGTGTTAAGATATTTAAAAGGGGCACCTGGAAAAGGCCTATTCTACTCTTCTAATACATCTCTAAAGTTGCAGGGATTTTCAGATTCAGACTGGGCAACTTGTGTGGATAGCAGGAAATCTGTGACTGGATATTGCATATATCTTGGGAATTCATTGGTTTCATAGAAAACCAAGAAGCAAGTAACAGTCTCTAGATCATCTTCTGAGGTAGAGTACAGGGCTTTGGCTTCAACAACTTGTGAAATACAATGGCTGTTGTTCCTGCTAGCAGATTTGAAGGTGAGACTCACCACTCCAGTGACCTTGTACTGTGATAACAACTCTGCCATTGCCATTGGTGAGAATTTTGTTTTCCATGAACGTACTAAACATATTGAAATTGATTGTCATGTGGTTAGGCAAAATATCAATGAAGGAATCATCAAGCTTCTTGCTGTTTCTTCAAAAAATCATACTGCAGATGGTTTCACAAAAGCCTTGGCTAAGCCTTTGTTTGATAAATTTCATGATAAGCTGGGCCTTCAAGATCTTCATGCTCCAGCTTACAGGGTGGGGGGGGGGGGGGGTGATGAAATAAGGGATTACCTAGCAGCTAAAATCAGCTCAAATCTGTTCTACATGCTACTTGTTTTTTCTCCTTTTTAGCTTATTAAGTAGTCAGGGGCCTTATGGTCTTTTTCTTGTTTTCCCTGGCAGTTATAACTACCTATATAGCTGTGTATGTTTGTTGTCCATCACATCTTTCCTTTTTCATACATTCACAGTGTAATAACCAGAGCTCCCTTAAGTTCTTTCAATGGCAGACACTTTGTTTCCTTTCTAACTTTGAAGCTTTCCAACAGAATATGACTTCCTCATGTTGTAAGAACCCTCTTGCTTTTAGACACAACTCTTGTTGCAAATTTAAACTCATTCACAAAGATTAAAACACTTGACGGTAAATAAGTTACTGGCCTAGGTATATTTGTAAGTAAGTAGAATGTTTTGTTTCAGAGTCCGAGTACAAAGTTTTTTGTCATACTCCCTATTGTCACATGCACATACTTTTATACTCGACAATGGGCTACTAAGTATAACGATTACAATAATTGCACAACGACCTCCTATTAAGCGAAACACATGACTCCTTAGTAATTGTTGTGTGCTCCCCTCTATAACTTTTGTTCTTTATGGGTTGGTGCTCTAATAAGGGCGTTGGGCTCTGCCTTAAGTGCACCATTCTACACATGCCCTTGGCCGTTACTATTTGACCGTGTTAATTGATTTGACAGCTTGCTGCTTCGGGTCGAGTCCAAATGACTCATCTAATTATCCCTTCATCAACCCCCTTACTCCCGAGTAAAGAGCGTAATGGAGTAAGCTAGGTAGTAATAATTGCGCATACTCATTGAATATCTCTGCTCGTCACCAGCCCCCCTTATTCCCAGACGATGAGCGTGGAGAAGTGGCTAAGGAGTAACATAGATTTTCACACTTGTATAACAATAACAAGAATAATAATCTTTAATTTCAAATATATATATATATATATATATATATATATATATATATATATATATATATATATATATAGTTATAAGTAGTTACACCTAGGTGCATGAATGTTAACAAGGTAAAATTATATGCATTTGTAAGTGAAAATAGGTGCACTTGTAAGTGATTTTACCTGCACTTTTTACTTGCAAAGGTGCACCAGCTACTTGCACTTATAACACATTTACATGCACTAAAGTTTAAGTTATTTACGAAAATGCCACCACATCGTTTTTTTTTTTTTAAAAATTAAATATGATTCATTGATCTATACACGTGGATGACGCTAAATGGTTTTTATTTCTCTCCTGGGCGGCTGTTCACATGAGAGCGTGCCCCCTATATTTGTGTGTGTGTATATATATATATATATATATATGTATATATACATATACATATATATATATATATATATATATATATATATATGTATATATACATATACATATATATATATATATATATATATATATATATATATATATATATATATATATATATATATATATAGAAGGGTTCAGGTCCAGGTGATGTTTCCCATGCGGCTGTTGTGCGGTTGGACGCACCTTAAGCATTAACATGGCGCACCTTAAGTACAGAAATCACAACGAACCTTGAACACACAAACAAAGCACCTTAAGAACACAAATCACTAACATTAAGTACATAAACCAGTACATAAACCACGCCCCGTAAGCACCGAACAAAGCATATTAAGCACAAAACTCACGCACTTAAGATTTTAAAATGGCTCACATTAAGCAGAAACTCACGCACATTAAGCGCAACACCCCCGCACATTAAGCACAAAGCTCACGCACATTAAGCACAAAACCACGCACTTTAAGTTTTACCAACTACTCATATTAAGCACAAAACCCACGCAGCTTAAGCACAAACTCACGCACATTAAACACAAAACTCACGCACCTTAAATACAAATCTCACACACCTTAAGCACAAAATTCACGCACTTTAAGTTTTAACAACTACTCAGATTAAGCACAAAATTTACGCACCTTAAGTACAAACCCACGCACATTAAACATAAAACACACGCACCTTAAGCACAAATCTCACG